CTCATCGCAGCGCCCCCTGCGCTGGAGGGACCGACCTTGGAGCCAGGGCGCATGGTGGCGGCGCATGTCAACTGCGGCGGCAAGAGAGGATTCGTCATGATCTCTCTGTACATGCGGGTTGACGAGCAGCTATCGCCAGAGAACCTTGCTATTTTGTTCAAGCTGTATAAGTATCTTAAGGTTCTCGACACGATGCAGATGCCGTGGATCGTGGGCGGAGATTTCAACATGGAGCTCAAGCAGATGGGCCCGCTGTCGTGGCTGCACTCCGTCAATGGCGTGGCGGTGGTGCCGTCGGTGCCAACTTGCATCCAGGCCCTCCCTGGGCGCACGATCGACTTCTTCTTCGTGGCGTGCCAGGTCATGCCGAGGATTGGCCATCCTGCAGTCGGCGAGGCAGACACGTGGCCGCACCTGCCTGTCACGGTCACGCTGTCCGCCCAGCCGCAGGCGATGTGGACGCGACAGCTGGCGCAGTCCAAGGGCTTCACCAAGGCGCCGAAGATCGGCTGCGCCAGGCCGCCGTCAGACTGGGACCCGTTCCTCGACCAGGCTAGGCAGGCGACCTCGTCAGAGCAGCTGGCGGACGTGTGGGACCAGCTGCTGCTCGGCATCGAGTTCGAGCTGCAGGGGCGGTACGATGTTGTCGGACCGCAGGCCACGAAGTTTACGTCCAAGCCGACGGCGCCCATGTTCGAGTGGATTAGGTTCGACCCCGACGAGAGGCAGTCTTGGAAGAGGAAGGCGCCCGACGTCGCAGCGCGGCTGGCAGCAGCGCGCTGGGCGCGGCAGTTTCGACGTGTACGTACTGCTCTCGTATCGTTCATCGTGAAGCTGTCAGACCCTCCTACTTTCGTGTTGCCTGGTCTGGGATGCTCTGGGACGGTGGTACCTTCGGCACCCACGGCTACGGCTGCTACGTCGGCGGAGGTGCCCCGTGGCGCGGCGGCGGCTGCGGCTGGATCGGCGTCCTGGCCCCCTTCGGCGTCCTCCCCAGCGGCCCCCTCTCCACCCCTGGCACCCGCCACTGTTGCCAGAGGCCCCCCAATGGGGGATAACGGAAGGGGAACTGCCGCCGCCGTGGGCGCACAGCAGGCGCCCGATACTGGTGAACGCCCCCCGCGGAGGGAGTACTGCAGCAAGCTGTGCGACAAGACGGCGAGGCACATCTTCGAATTCCAGCGTTTCTTGAGAAGGATTGCAGCTCGCCCTGATGTCTGGCCGCACCTTGACAAGTTGGCTGTCGATTTCTTCGCACGTGGGCCCCTGGCGTTCGTACAGGAGGACTTCGACCAGCAGGTCGAGCGCATCATTGTCAAAGCAGATGGTATGCAGCGGGCGCACGAGAGGAAGGTAGCCGCCAGTTGGCATGCGCGGGCCGAGGCGTCGTTCGAGGGGGGCGCCAGCCGAGCACACATGTTTTCCAAGCCGCTGGCGCCCCAGGAGGTAGTCGACTACGGCGCAGGGGTCCAACATGCGTACCAGCTGGCCGATCGCAAGGTGCAGCACTGGTGCCAGTACTGGCAGAGGCACGATGACGGGCTGATCGCGCTGCCCAGCGACCACCAGGAGTGGGACCAGCTGCCGCCACTCAGTGGAAGTGACCTTCGTCGGGCTATTCGCGCCTTCAGCTGGACAACGGGTACGGGGCAAGTTAAGATCGCCCCGCGGGCGCTGGACCACCTATCCGATGCTGCCCTGGATGCGATGGCCGCCCTGTTCTGTCGGTGCGAGCAGTTGCTCATCTGGCCCCAGTCTCGGTTCATGACGAAGCTCGTGCGCCTACCCAAGCCTGGAGGAGGGGAGCGCCTGATCGCTCTCCTCAACACGCTCATTCGAGTGCGGGGGAGGGCCCGTCGGCCTGTGTCTGCCCAGTGGGAGGTGGACAACGCCAGCGAGGAGTTCTGGGGGCACACGGGGGGCAGGTCGTCCACTGATGCTGCCTTCGACCTGGCCCTCGAGAAGGAGACGGCCCACCTCACGGGCGACCACGCCCTGATCGTGCTGCTGGACATGCTCAAGTGCTACGAGATGGTTCGGCACCAGGCGCTGCTCGATGAGTGCAGGGCCAACCAGTATCCCATGAGGCTGGCGTACATGCTCGTGCTGCTCTACCAGCAGGAGCGCACGATCTTCGCTTACAACTCTTTCTCGGAGGCGAAGCAGGCCTGCCAGGGCATCCTGGCTGGGTGCACTCATGCCACGACGCTGCTGATGGTACTGTTGACACGTGCTCTACGCATGACTGCTCGGATCGCGCCTGAGGTCCGACCACGTGACTTGGTGGGCGACGTGGCACTGTCCGGGACGGGTGCCGATGCCCGAGGTGCCCGCATGTTGGCGTCCGCCACGCGAGTGTTCTGCGAGGCGGTCAAACCACTCGGTCTTCTGCTGCAGCTGGACAAGTCTGGGCACCTGGCAGTCACGCGGCAGTCGAAGTATCATTTTCGCCAGTTTGCCAAGATGCTCAAGATTGGAGGCAAGCGTCACATGCGCTACCTGGGCCACGACCTCGCCGCCAGTGCTGCCGTGCGCAATGTCCAGAAGGACCGCCTCGAGAAGATGGATGCTCGGCGTCCTCGGCTGAAGGCGTTGCAGAAGGGTGCTGGACGTTGGCGCTCGGCGCGCCTTTGGACTACGGGCGCGCTGCCGTCGGTCGGCCACGGAGCGGCGGTCAGCGGCATCAACGACGGCGAGCTGAAGCAGATGCGCAGTGTTGCTGGCAGTTTCTGTGGCTTCAGTGGCAGCGGCTCTCTTACTCTGTACCTGGCGGTGCAGAAGCAGCGCAATTTCGACCCGATCTACCATGCCACCTGCAGCCTGTTGCAGCAGTACTCGGTCTGGGTGTGGGCAGCGTGCGGCTCTCTCGCCAGGTTGCAGAGGGCCTGGATGGCGCTGAAGGACCAGTTCGAGGCTGCTCGCGGCGCGGTCACTTGGGCCAGCGCTCGAGGTCCGATATCGGCCCTCTGGCTGACTCTGCGCAGGGTCGGGTGGGACATGGCCAGTGCCACGGTCCTCGTGGACGACACGGGCGTTGGCATCGACTTGCTCAGGGTCAGTCCCAGCGAAGTGCTGCACTACATGTACCTGAGCCTCGAGCGCTGGCAAAGCCATCGTATTTTGGACCACCTGCCTGGTGCCCCTGCTCGGCAGCCTGACGGTAGCCGTCGGCATATCTGGATGCGAGCCCTCCGTCGCGGTCATCTGCAGAGGCTTTCTAGCGGGTTGCGAGGTGCGTTGGCCAAGCTCCAGTCAGATGGCATGTGGACGCCCGCTCGTAGGTGCGAGGCGGGTTACACAGACAATGCTGCATGTGGTTTCTGCGGTCACTCGCCTGCGGACCTCGAGCACGAGATGTTCTTCTGCTCGGTGCACGAGGCGCAGGAGGGCGAGGAGCAGGGCCCATACCCTGACGACGTGCTGCAGGTCAGGAAAGACATCTGGGAGCAGGGCCAGACGGGTGCTGGCGCCGAGTGGGACCTCGCCACGGTCGACCTGCTCTACGCGCTGCCGATGCGCCCTGAGTTTCGGCCCCCTGAGCCCAGCCTGCTGCCTGTCAAAGAGTGGGGGGCCCGCGATGCCCCGTGGCCGTCCAAAGTTTTCGGAGACGGGTCTTGTTTCGATAGTGATTTCCCTGAGGCCAGGCGGTGTGGTTGGGCGGTGGTGGCCCTCACGCCGAATCTTTTGCCTTTCAAGGCTATCTTTGGAGGCCTCGGAGGCCCTATTCAGACCGTGCCCAGGGCCGAAAGGTTTGCCGCTCTCCGAGGCCTCGAACTGGCGTCCAGGCCGTCTGTGTTTGTCACGGATCACTTAGCTCTGGCGCAAGAAGGGGAGTTGTGGTTTGGCAGGCATGCTCGACCTACAGCACCTCATGCTAGCGTCTGGAGGCAACTGCACGCTCTGTACGAAAGTGATTTGGATCGTTTGCCCCGGTTTTCCTGGACTCGTGCTCACAGGTCTGTGGATGAGGGCATTGCGTCGTGCTGTTCCTCGGGCGAACCCTTGGAGAATTTTTTCGGTAATATGTGGGCCGATTGTTTCGCGAAGATGGCCGCGCTTGAGCTGTCGGGCTCATCCTCGGCCATCCGTGCACATAAGTTTGAGATGGAGCAGGCCAAGCAGCGGATGCGTTGTCTGGCGTTCGCTGCCCATAGAGTGGCCTCTTTGGCGTCGCCCGTCGTCTATCGGCCGCTACCGCCCGCCCCTAGAGCCCCACGTCGACGAAAGCCGACCACCCGCGCGTTTGCCCTGTTTCCTGCGGGCGCTGTTGGGTGCAAGGCTTGTTGGCGCCAGGCCTCGACCCCGTTTTCTTTGAAGTCCCTCGCCTCCCGCTTGTGTGATCCCCAGGTTGTCGGCCCTGGACACCTGATCCAGGTTTGTGATCGAGTGCTGATTTGCACGCGCTGTGGGGCCCACACAGTGCGACCGCAGAGGCTCTCAGTGGGCCTCACGCGAGCCTGCCTTGTCAAGGATGAGGGAGTTCGGTCTGGGACGCGGGGGGAGAGAGTCCAGAGAATGTTGCAACAGGCCCAGCGTGGCCGCCACCCCAAGACGGGAGAGGCGATCGGCCCGCTGCTCCTAGCCCCGATTGCCCCTGAGGCCGCGTTGCGCTCGCTGGCTAACGTCGGGACGGGGGTGGCGGACGGGGGGGACGGTGTCGGTCGTGGTGTCGAGGAGGAGGAGCGGCGGAGCACGGCGCCGCAGGCCTCTGCCGAGGGGCAGCGCAGGCCCGCGCCCACGGCTCCCCCCTCCCCCTCGGCCTCTGCGCCCCAGCAACAGCCCGAGTCTGGGGACTCGGACTAGCTGTGGCCCCACCTCGGGCGCGTGCCTGCGCCCTTTCCTTTCGCTCCGAGGCCCAGTCGGGATTCCCCTCTGCGCCCTCGGCCATTGCCCATTGCTCCTCCTCCTCCTCCTCCTCCTCCTCCTCCTCCCCCTCCTCCCACCCATCCTCCTGAGACCGAGCCACTCCCGGCCCGGCTGCCCTCGGGATTCGCCAGCCCGCCTCCATGAGGTCAATCTCGCCGCAAGGGACGCCGCAGACGCTCTGGGCGTCGCAGTAGTAGTCGTTGCAGGTGCCGATCTCCTGGGCGAGTCGCCAGGTGCGCGGGGGGGGGGCGGGCAAAGGGGAGAAAAAGAGGCTCAAGGATCGAGCTTCGAGGATTCGTGAGCCATTTGTGGATCGAGGAGCGGGGATGGGCGCTCTCGAGAAACGATGATCGAGGCCTGTGGATGGTGGATCGGCGTAGAAGAAATCGAGGTCCAGATCGCACCGCATCGCCAGTTCATCGGCGATGCGCTGCGACTCTGTCTTCTTTCATGACCCGCAAGTCGAGGCCCAAACTTCTGGGGGCCCCATGTTCTCCGGCCCCATCTGGGAGGCCTGGATGCCGTTAGGACTACAACTCCACCTGACCCCTTCGTGTGATCAGAGGAGAAGAGGGACCATCACCACCGAGAAGCCATCGAGGGGGGGGGGGGGGGCGACACATGGGCGGTGGCACGCCTGAGCGTCGTCCTGTACTGGGTGACGCTCGGGCGTACCCGCGCGCCAGGGGGGCCCAGCACGGATCCAAGAAATCCGCGCGGAGCGCTGTGGTTCTTTCTTCTTGGAGTACCACCGCCCAGGGGTCGACACCACCCCCGCTGGGCTCTCTGCAGCGGTGGCCCCTGCTTCTCCTCGAGCTGCTGGCCCTCGGCGCGACGACGCCCGCAGGCCCCAGACGCACGCGCCCCCCGCAGGGCCCCCGGCGCACAGAGCACGGCGCCCGGGCCGGCCTGCGATGGGCGGGGCAGCCCGCAGGGCCCCCGCGGGGCTCCTCGCGGGGGGCGGGCGCTGCGGGCGACACCTCGGCACGCCCGCCCCGGCGCACGGGGGCGCCCACGGGGCGGGCACCGGGCGAAGGCCGCGAAGACCCTGGCACGGCCAGCGGAGGTGGGAGGCGGAGGGCTGGGCCACCCAGCCCCGCGCTGTGCGCCCCGCGGCGCGCGGTCACCCTCGCGCCCTCGCGCCGCCCCCTGGAGAAAGGCAGGTGTCTGGCCCGTGCCGCGAAGTGCGACCATCTTCGCGACCCCGGCGGGTGACCTGGGAGAAGGGGGAAAGGGGGGGCGGTGGGCGGGTGCAGAGGCAAATCCCCTGGCGCCTCCCAGGCATCCGCGTGAATGGCTAGCTCCTGGCCGTGCCGACGCGGACTCTAGACTCTTACACCGAGTGGCCCGTTCGACCTGGATCGATCATCGGCTGCAGGTAGGAGTGACCCTAGGCAAGAGCGACCTTTGAGTCGCGGCCTCTGGGTGGCACGGGGGGGCCTGACCCGAGCGCGCAAGCCGCTGCTATCGCTTCGCATCCAGCCGTCGCGCTATCGCTGCTATAGCATCGCTGCGACCTTACGCGGTGGCGTACGCGGGCCGCCCGCGCGGCATGCCACATTGGGAACGAGGGTGCTCAGGCGCGGGGGGGGGCATCGGCAGGGAGGGGGGGGGGGCAGCGGCAGGGGGAGAGAGCATCGGCGTGGACGCCCGAGCTCAGCCGCCCCAGGGCGCAGCACGCAGAACCCGCAGCGCGTGGGCACGGAGCTGTGACACGTGGACCTCCTCCTCCTCCTCCCTCCTCCTCTCCTCCTCCTCCTCCTCCTCCTCCTCCTCCTCCTCCTCCTCCTTCTCGGACCTCCCCCCCTCCTCTTCCTCCTCCTCCTCCTCCTCCTCCTCCTCCTCCTCCTCCTCCTCCTCCTCCTGCTCCTCCTCGCAGGGCTGGCGCGACACGTTGGCCAGAGCGCGGGCCAACACGTGCCGAGCCAACACGCAACGTGTTAAACACGGACGTTTTGAGCACGGTACGTGATGCGCTTCAAGACAAGCGCATCGGGGCAGCTAAACGCCCAAAGTACCCAGGATGACTCTGGTCTGGGGTACCTCTGGTTTGGGCCCCTGGCGATGGGTTCCCGACACCAAAATTTAACAGTCCTGGGCGGGGTGGGCAATCGGGCCCTTTAACGGCGATCGATGAGTGTCTGGGGGTCGATGCATCGCCCCCCTGAGCCTATCCCCCCTAACGTTGCCCCTGACCTTCCGCTCCCTGACTTTCGGGCCATATACATGGCGATATGTATATATATATATATATGTATACACACAGGTATACATATGTATACATATGTGTATGCATACATATGTGTATACATATAAATATACATATATATATATATATATATATAGAACTCGAGCCTCCAGAATTCCAGCACCACTGGAACGCTCTCGACGAAGCGCACCTGATCGGAAACCAGCCCAGGCCTCGAAAACGCGAGAAACCCTGCCGGAAAACTGTTGCCCCTGAGCCTATCCCCGCCCCTACCGCTCCCCCATGTCCCCTCCGTGTTCTGCTGCATGGAGACGAGGTAGAAGGCGGCGTTGCACCCGCAATTGGTGCCAGACCTCGGGCATCCCGCCCAACTTCCCATTGGAGTCCCCAGACGGTGCGGTGACGGACCGTGCGGTGACCTCGACATCCCCCAAGACGTCACCGCACGGTCCGTCACCGCACGGCCTTGGGACCTCGGAGGCCCCTGTCGCCCGAGACGTCCTCGGAGAACGACCCCAGTCCCAAAACCGGGCGGTGACCCCGAATCCCCACCGACTCACCACAGGGCGTGGTCACCACACGGTCTGGGGGCCCCCGATTCCCCTGCGCCGCGCCGCTGCCTCGTCAAGGCGCCAAAGCCGTGGGCCTCATCCGCGGGGCCAGCGCCCGGCGCAAGGCGTCGGGAGCCCGCCGCGCGAGGGGCACGAGGGGGGGCGAGGCCAGCACCTGGACAAAGTCGGAGCAGAAACGGGGGAGCCCTTCCCGAGCCCAAAGGCGGTCACCGTTTCAGCGCCCTGGCCGTAAGAGCACCCAGCGCGGCCACACGGGCCCCCAAGAGCAACCCAAGGCGGCCCAAATAGACCCCTAATAGGACCCCCAAACGGCCCACAAATCGCTCCAAGGCAACCCTAAATGACACCGCGACGATCCCAAAACGGGTCAGGAAAGGCTCCCCAAATAGCTTCCGATGGCGCCAGACGGCCCAAGAGCCCCCGATGACGGCCCCAGAGAGCGCCGAGATGGCCCAAAGTGAACCCAGGAGGCCCCCAAGAAAATCCAAGACGAGGACGGGAAAACAGTGGCCTCAGAGGGCCCCTCCGAAGTGCTCCCCCGATGGTTTCCCCGGACAGCTGCGGGGGATTTGCGCCCGGGCGCTGCCTGGTAAGGCAGAGGGGCGGCCGTGATTCATCGGAGTCATCTTCGATCAAATTCGTAGAGGAGGGGGAGGAGGAGGAGGAGGAGGAGGAGGAGGAGGAGGAGGAGGAGGAGGAGGAGGAGGAGGAGGAGGAGGAGGAGGAGGAGAAGGAGGAGGAGGAGGGGAGGAGGAGGAGGAGGAGGAGGGGGAGGGAAGGAGGAGGAGGGGAGGAGGAGGAGGAGGGAGGAGGAGGAGGAGGAGGAGGAGGAGGAGGAGGAGGTGGAGGAGGAGGAGGGGGGAGGGGGGCGCGGGGAGGGGCGGAGGAGGAGGAGGAGGAGGAGGAGGAGGAGGAGGAGGAGGAGGAGGAGGAGAACGAGGAGAAGGAGGGAACCACTGACACGGGGGGGGCAGCACAGGCGGTGTCACTGTCCCGTGACGCGTGCCTTGGGCGCAAGGTGCGCAGCCAAACAGACAGTACACGCACCGATCGCGTTTTTTTCGGGGGCGACGTACAGAAGCTGGGCTCTCGCTGTGAAATTCGCACGCAGGCGCTCGTGAACCCACCCGACGTCGTTGCGAGTGCGGCCTCGTGGCGTTCCTAACACGCCTGGACCCAAGAGGACAAGAAGAGGCGGAGGAGGACGAGGCGCAGGAAAAGCTGGAAGGGGACGGCGAAGGGAAAGGGGGAGTATTCCCCAGTTTTTGAAACTACGAATGCTGGCTGTGTCGCCTGCGAACGCTGGGAGAAAGGAGAAAGAGGAGGAGGAAAAACAGGAGGCAGGGCAGGAGGGGGAGATAAACAGAGAACCGGAGGAGGGGGGAAGATGAGGGAGGATGGAGGAGGGACGTGGGGGAAAGAGGGATGCGGGAATGGAGGAGCAGAACCATACGGGATGTCGATGCTTTCTCGCCCCAACGGCCGCTCAGGCGCCCGCTTCTCCGCAGGAGATTAGCGTTCGCGCATCCACTCGGCAGGGGTGAACACACGCGCCACCGAGCCGTGACACGCAGCGCCTGCTTCCCGAGGGTCGGCAAGGCGCTCATCTGGGACCGCGCGAAGGGCGCCTCCTGCATGGAGACAAGCACAGTGACCGATCCTGCCCTGAATGTCCCATAACAGACCGCACCAAACGGGCACGCCGCCTATCCCTGAAGGGAGCCGCAGCCGGCGGACAAAAAAACAAATAAAAACAACAACGACAACAACAACAACAACAACAACAATCATTTTACCCGAACGCTCAGTGTTCTCACCAGTGCCAGGGTTTTCATGCGACGCGAGACAATACCCCCACTTCGTGGGGGGGCAGTTCAAGCTCTACCAAATATCCAAACGACTCTTCGCGACCACCCAAACCCAGCTTCCCGCCCTATGACGTTGGGACACTTCACTTCGTGGCGTGCGGACGACCGTGGCTACTACACTGGCGTGGGGTACACACCCACAGAACTTGGTCACTTATTCGGGGCGCGCGTGTGCCCAGCATCCTGCAATTGTGACATACAATACATGACACAGACAGACAGAGAGAGAGACAGAGAGCAGACAGAGAGAGAGACAGAGAGAGCGGAGTTGGTCACATTTTTGGGGCAAGTTCCTGAGATCGTCGTGTTTTTTGTTGGTCTTGCGCGCGCGAATGTCCACTTTACTTTTTTTTGCAAGGGAGTATTGAAATTTGATTATGTTAGAACAAGAAAAAGTAGCTCGCGCGAGCTCATGTAACATAAATGTTGAAAAACCATTGGTTTTGTGGGAGTCGGACAGCGCGCGCGGGATGAAATTTGGACATGTTTTTTTGAAAAACCATTGGGCTTTTGATGTTTTTATGTTGAAATCGTTACGAAACCTAAGGTTCTGTAAGGATTTCGTCTTGCGCGCGCGAATGTCCACTTTACCTTATTTTTTGCAAGGGATTATTGAAATTTGATTATGTTAGAACAAGAAAAAGTAGCTCGCGCGAGCTCATGTAACATAAATGTTGAAAAACCATTGGTTTTGTGGGATTCGGACAGCGCGCGCGGAAGGACATTTTGACAATTTTTTCTTAAAAAACCATTGGGTTTTTGATGTTTTTATGTTAAAATCGTTACGAAACCTAAGGTTTTGGAAGGATTTCGTCTTGCGCGCACGAATGTCCACTTTACCTTATTTTTTGCAAGGGATTCTTGCAATTTGATCAAGTAAGAACAAGAATTTTCATTTTATAGTGTTTTTTGCAAGGGACAGCGGGGGGGAACAAAACAACCGGATCCGGTACTAATCCACTTTTCTGAAGCTTTCGCTAGAAAATGATGAAATGAGGCTGCGGCCTAGGTTTTGGAGGGGGGTCGTGCACCAGGGGCCCCAACAATAATTATTCTTTAGAAGTAATAATGTTCAACAACAACAACAACAACAACAACACCAACAACAACACCAACAAACAACAACAACAACAACAACAACAATCAGTTTAAGACTGTTCGCCCTTATCTGCTCGAGTGTCCAATAACGCATGTTTCCCAAACCCTCGATACCCGCCCTCTTCGTCTTCGATCGAACCCCTTTTGGGGGGTATACCTGTCTTCCCTGCAGGCCGGGCCCAGGCAAGCGGCGGGGCGGCCGCGGACCGTCGGCCTGGCCAGCGGCAGCGCCGATCGGCGGGGCGGCCGCGGACCGTCGACCCCACCCCAAGAGGGACGGACAGGGGACCGACCACGACGACGACGACGTCGACGTCGACGGCGACGACGACAACGATGGCGACGACGAGCGAAAGCGAGAGCGAGAGAGAACGACAGCAGGGCCACGGAGGACACGAAGTAGGCCACGAAGGGCGACAGCGGGGACACGAAGGGAATGCATATGGGGCCACGAAGAGCTCGAACGAGCGGGGGCCACGAAGGGCAGATAATGCGGGGGCCACAGAAGGCAACGATGGGGCCACTGAGGGTAGCAACTGGGCCACGTAGGACAATGACGAGCAGCGCGCGCGTGGCCCACTGGGCCGAGGCTCGCCTCCCAAAAGCCCTGCCCCGGCCGCTGCCTGCCTGTTCAAAGGCCTTCATCCAGCCGCAGAGGCGGGGAGGCTCTCCGAGACGTCTTCCGCGTCTTCGGGGGAGGTCCAGGGAACTTCTCAGACGGCGGGGGGGGGGGGGGGGACATCCGAGCCTTCTGAGCAGGCCCGCCCCTTCTCGCTCTCCCTCCCCCCCCTCCCTGGGCGTTTGTCGTCCCTTCTCCTCCTCCCCCCCCCCGTCATGAGCGAGGCCCAGCGTGCCCGCATCGAGACCAACCGTGCTGCTGCCAAGGCACGGCGCGCGGAGCGCGCCAGGCAGGAGCATGCGCGCAGAGCTCCATGGAGCGCAGGGGGCACACTCCGAGGCGCAATCTTTGGGGATCCCTCTGGGGTACGGGATCCCGATATTTCCTCGCTAGGCCGGTGGTGGCGTAAGCGGTGAATCCTCGTGAGGTCCTCTGCGCCACCCACCGGCTAGCCACACGGTTCGAGCACGCAACCTTGCGAAGCCGCGCGTCCGTCGCATCAACATCAACCTCCCTGGGGGGGAGCAGAAAGAGGCCGATACCGCTGCGCCCCAGGACCTCGCCCGGGCGGCGTTCTGACCGAGACTCCACCGCGAACCTGGCCGCGGCGACGAGGGAAGGGCCTCCGTGTCGGCCCCTGCTCCTCCTCCGAGGCTTCGGTCGGGCATGTCCCCCTACACGGGGATTTTGGATGATAAATACAAAAACATTCGAAAAGTATTCAAAAGATGTCCCAAAATACTCAAAACATAGTCCCCTGACTATTTTGCGACTATTCCTGAGCACTCCCCCTGCAGAGGGACAGGCCCGACCCAATCCGAGGCCTCCCTGGGCAGCCTCCGACGCTGCGCCTCGCGCCGCGCGGCGCGCGCAAGGGCACGTCCGCCTCCGCGCCCCCGCGCCGCCCCCCAGCGGCGGAAGACCACCTCGAGAGCGGGAGGCGCGAGGCGCCGTCGCCCCCCGGTGGCCCTGCAGGGCGGCCCTCGGCCTTCGGGGGGGGGGGCGGGCCGAGCAGAGGCCTCGGGCGCGCGGGGCGGGGGGGAGCCCAGAGGAGGAGAGAGAGCACGGGGAGCAGAGGAGGGGACGGGGGAGCACGAGCGAGGACGGGGAGCACAGGAGGTGACGGGGGCGCGGGAGAGCGCGGGAGCACAGGAGGGGGCGGGAACACAGGAGGGGACAGGGAGGGAGTCCACGCGAGCGCGCTTCCAGAGAGGGTGGCCACCTGCGCGATCCAGGCGGGGCGCCCTGGGCCCAGCCTGGCCGCGGGGAACCGAGTGGGCCCCGAGAAAGCCCCAGAGATGCTTGGATGGAGAGAACGGAGTGGCCACGGCCAGGACTGAACGCGGAAACGTCGGTATCGATCTTGGTCGCCGTCCATCTTGGTCACCTTCGATTCCTAGATGATCCTCGCGCGCTGGGGACGGCTGGCATGGACCACGACTAAAATCTTCGTCGACTGGATCCTACGACATCTTGGTCACGGTCAGCATGTTTCTTCCCTCGAGTGCTGGTCATCTGGCCGACCTCAACCCGCAACTACGAGATCGGGGGGCGCCAGCCATCGCGAGTCACATCCGCGACGAAGCCTGCCCTCGAACGCCCCCATGGATACGACGAGGACCACCCAAGCCAGTTCTGGCCATAGCGATGAAAGGCAACCCCCCTTCAAGAGAACCTCAGCTAAATGTAGCCTCGTCTCTACCAGGGAGGCGTCGTGACCGAAACTGTGCCCGAAGATCAACCCGAGCGTGACCGAAACTGGCGCCCGAAGTTTTCCAGTCGCGCCCACGTGTGACCGAAATGTATGGTTCGAAACCAAGACGATCTTCAAATTCGGTTACAAGTTCGGTCACACTACGTTTTCGGTCACAACTTCGGCACGGTTTCGGTCACCGATTCCAATTCGGTCACCTCCATTTTCGGCCGATAAGGTTAGGTCGGGCATGTCCTCCTACAGGCGGATTGAAGAAGCATAACAAGCAGTCAAACAATCTTCAAAATGGCCAAAAATAGTCGAAACATCGTCCCCAGACTATTTCTGTCTAGTCTTGAATACTCCTCCTGCAGAGGGACATGCCCGACTTAATGATAGGGGCGGGGCGCCTTGAGACTATCCACCACCATCGATACTGCCCAGGCCCATCCGGAACCATGCCAGATCATGGAGGACCAAAGCGGCACCAAGCGTAGAACACTTCGGAAGTCCGCGCGGACTCCTCGGATCGGCCGGCCGTGAGCCCCCTCCCTGGCGCGCGGGGGCCCGGCGACGATCCAAGAGGTCCGCGCGGAACTCCGAAGACTGATGCTTATGCCGTTGCTTCGTCCTTGAGTTCTGGGCCATGGCAGATCATCGAAAGCGTACGGGGGGGGGGGGGCGTCGAGGGCAGCAGGTGGATCAGACGGCAGCATCTCGGACCATTCCAGCCCAAACGGTGCCTCGGAGTGACTCCAGGGGCAGACGGGAGGGACCCAGCACGCCTACACAAAACCAGGATGGCCTCTGGCCGGGCCAAGCCCACCAGTCAGCGACGCTGCGTGGCGCCGGCAGCCCGAGCCCGTGCCACGGCCCCCTGGCCTCACCGGGACCGCCCGAGCGCCGGACACGTCGGTGGTCCACGTGATCTTCTTGCCGAGGAAGTTGATGGCGGAGTACACGCTGGGGTCGTAATCCCCCTCCGCGCAGCCGTCCGCTCCGTCCGCGAAGTAGACGCGGGCCCCCATGTGCGGAACCACCTGGGCGCGGCCCGCCATACGGAGCGTCGGGCGCACTCCCCTCGGGCCAGAACGCCAGGGATGACTGGCCTCGAGCTCATCCCTATCTCTAAGACTGACAAGCCCAGAGGCGACGACAAGATTTTGGGTGCGCCCACAGAGACCGAGGGCATCCCCAAGATCGTCACCGACACGAGGTGATGCCAACCCATGTGGTTAGGGATATGCTCCAGGCTGGTGCGGGGAAAGTTCGTAGACGGGGCTGGCGAATGGGTTCACGTGGCGGTTTTCCCCGGCGCCTCCCAGCGCGGGGAGGCGCCCGTGTACCTCAAGGGGATGCGCCCGGCGGGGCCGGCGCTGGCCGCACGCGGCAGACGTCGGAGCACTCCGCCCCTCTCCCCGCCCCCTCCCCTCGCCCGATGCGAGCGGAGCGGCCTGCAAGACCACACGGTCGGTCGGGAGCTCTTGGACAGGGTGCCGCCGCGGCGGCTTGCGCAAGCGGACGGCGTGCCGCTCCGCTCCGCGGGGCGGGAAGCTGGGAGGGTCTCGGGAGGCTGGCGCCTCGGACCCGCGGCATGGCTAGCGTGTCGCGCCGAGGCGCGATGGGCCAGCGCCAGCGCAGCGATACGCTTGGTGGGCATGTTTTCCACCGCCACCACCATGAGTAGGAGGGGGACGGGGTCCTCCTTCTCCCTGTCCTCTTCTTCTTCCTCCTCCTCCTCCTCCTCCTCCTCCTCCTCCTCCTCCTCCTCCACCTCTTTCCCCCCCTCCAACGTATGGTGGTGGTGGTGAAAAGCAGGCCCACCAACGCTGTCCAAACTGGCCGCAGGCGGGCCGTGCATCGAGCCTAGCGTTCGGCCCACGACTCGCACGTTCCCCGGCCGCGCGGTCGGACGAGCTCGACGGCCGGTCCTCTTGCGTGCGGGCGGTGGCCAGTCCCTGAGCCGCAGGCAGGGATACTCAGGCACGCCCAAAAAGGGGGTCCAGCTGCAAGGGGGTGGTGCAACATACTTGAGGCAATTGCATTGCAAACGTACTGCGCTGGAGAATTGTATCGCATTGCTTTGCAACGAATGCATTGCACGCGAAAATCCAGCAATACAATTTGCGCCCCGGAATGTATTGCACGCCCCATATGTATTGCAACCTAGACCGAGGAGGCCAGGTGGCAACCTTCTCAGGAGCCTTGAGAAGGTCGCCAATCCTTCTTGTGCGGGTTGACTGTATCATCTCTTGCGGCAGCATTTGCTCACGTCTGCCAGCTTCCGTCGGCCTTCTGCCGGCTTCCGCCGGCGGAGGCGGCCTCGTTTTCCTTCCGCGGTTTTCCGCCCCCCTTCCGCCGCCTTCGAACTTCCACCGACGAAGAAATAGCAACTCCTTCGGCACTCGAAGGCGAGGGCCTCTCTGGAATGCCTCACATGGGCCGACGTGGAATCTACCGTGTATCCTCGAAGGCAGGAGCGATCGGAAGATACATCCATTTTTACACCTCCAAGCGATAAGAAACAGGACACTGCTCGCACGAAGCGCTACAGTTGGCTCAAGCGGCGGGGCCCATCGCCTACAAAGCCGACATGAATTTGGCATCACGGGATCGTCCAGAACGAATGATACGTCCTGTCTCCCAGGCCTGGCGACGTCAATCCAACTATGGGGCACGCCCAGAAAATCGGCCTCTGCGGAACGTCCAGACATTCAAACAAGGCGTCATCGGAACCACTCCTACCGAACCCCATGTGTTGTCGTTCCCTCTTCTTATCATCAGTAATATTTCCATTACTAGCAGTAAACATGTTCGTATCGTTTTGTTCGTATTAGTGTTCCTCTTAGTATTCTTAGTAGTAGTATGTTTCTGCTTAAGTGTACCATGATTCTTGGACGTAGCATCATTACTAGTATTACGAATGTTGGCATCCTTCTTGTTACCACCCACGGAAATTATGGATGTTACCGAAGAGCTGTTTTACTCCACCATGCCCTGACTTTGGCCGGGGGCCGGGGCACCGCGGGCCTCAGGTAGTTACCACACCGACCCGCACCGACAGCGACAAGAAGAGGAGGAGGAGGAGGAGGGAAGGAAGAGGAGCGGGGGAGGAAGGAGAGGAAGAACAAGGAACACTCCGTCGGGGCCTGGTTCGTCAACTTACAAATTTCGAGAAGGCCAAGAGACTGTCCCATCTTTGGGGTCCACAACGCCTGGGGCGTTGGCCACAAGGCTACACCGAAAGCTGGCACACAGCCCCGGGCACCAGACGCGGGCACGAAATATCCGTGTCCAGCCCCGCGGGAAAATCCGAACCATCTCCTGCGCATGACGAGTGCGCATCAGTGTCTCCCACCTCGAGGACCCGTCAGGAACTCCCCGGGTCTCCAGGTAACGTGCCACATCCCTGGAATTAGAGCTGTACTGGGCCTTTCCTCCTCTTCGCTGCAATTTGGACGGGGGCGGGGGGGGGGGGGGGTAGGTAGGTAAGACGCTGACTCGGGACTGCCGGGAGGAAAATGAGAGGGAGAGGGGAGAGAGAGGGGGGGGAGAAGAAGAAGAAGAAAAAAAGAAGCAGCAGGGGGAAGGAAGGGAGGAGAGAGGAGGAAGATGGGGGATGGAGGGGGGAGATGAGGAGGAGGGGGGGGGGGAGGATGGGGGGGGGGGAGGAGGAGAAGGGGAGGAGAAGAAGGAGGAGAAGAGCGGAAGGAGAGGAGCAGAAGGAGGAGGAGGAGGAAGGAGGCGGAGGGGAGGAAGGACAAAGCGGGAGGAGAGGAGGAGGAGGAGGAGGCAGAGGAAAAAGGGAGGAGGAGGAGGAGGGAGGGGCAGCAGCAGCGGGAGGAGGAGAAGGAGATAAAGGAGAGGGAGGAGAGGAGAAGGAGGAGGCGGAGGAGAAGGAGAAGGAGAAGGAGAAGGAGGAGGAGAAGGAGGAGGAACGAGAAGGAGAAGGAGGAGGAGGAAGAGGTGGTGGAGGAGAGCGGGAGGAGAGGAGGAGGAGGAGGAGGAGGAGGAGGAGGAGGAGGAGGAGGAGGAGGAGGAGGAGGAGGAGGAGGAGCGCAGCGCCACAGGAAGGTCTCCCGCCGCGCGCGCAGGCGCGCGACGGACTAGCCCCTGGCGCCGCCTACTCACGGCACGGCGCCGTAAGAGCAGGAGGCAATGTAGAAGGAGAGCAACTGGCCGTGGACGCAGGCCAACTTGCCGCCGACGAAGGAGGCGTCGCCACCGAAGAAGACGCCGTGCCACCAGCCGACCACGGAATGGCAGCGAATCACGACATGGTCGATCAACGCGCCGCGTGGCTGCAAGAAGAGCCCCCCTGCGGGGGCGGCGCTGCTGGGGTGCGTCGGGCACGAGGCGCCAGGCCCCTCTCGACGTGCCTGATCGCATCTTGCTGGCCGCGGCGCGTGGACTCGTTAGGCGAGAGCCCATCGCACCTCAAGCCAAACTCCCGCACTGCGCGGACACCCCCCGCAGCGCAGTGAGACCCGCAGCGCCTGCAACAGTAAACACTGATACCCCTGAACACGTCGCGCCCAAGCGCAGCGAAGGCGTCCTCGACCTCCTCGGCCAGGGCAGGCGGCAACAAGGCTGCGAGGGCCGAGGGCCGCGAGCTCCCTTCGAGCGCCAAGGCCGCGCCCAGGGCGCCAAGGCCGCGCCCAGGGCCGCGCCAGCCCTCTGGTCACTGCAGAGAACCCAGCCCTCGCCGAAGGCGCGGAGGCACCCGGCGTCGAGGGCACTGGCAACACGCGAATGGCGACATACACGATGAGAGCCAGTTTGCAGCGACTCGAGGGAGGAGCCCGCTGCGGCCGCGACCCCGCATTGGGCACATCGGCACCGCCGGAGGCTGGCGCAGTAAGCACGGACATGGCCCGCACTGCGTGCCACCACGATGGGCCTGGCCCCTGGGGACCTCCACGTCGCACCCCCACTGTTTGCGAGCCACAGCCTGCAGTGCCGCCCACGAAATGAACTGCAGGACCTTGCGGCGCTGTTTCAGCGCAGCTGTTACCGCCTCAGCCACCGACCCAGCCAGCGCGTGAGAGGCCGCACCACAGCGCGCGAAGTAGTCTGCCCAGCCGTTGCCTAGCCAATCACGCAGCTCCTGCGGCTCTGTGACCATAAGCTCCTCCAAGGACCTGTGCGCCGGCGTCCATCGGAACTCGGGAGGGCCCCGCAGGGTGCGCCTGCGGCTGGCCACGAAGATGCCCCGCCACGCTCGAGCATGCTTGGCGCGACCCTGCTCGAGCTCGGGACACAAACGCTCTCCTTCCTGGGCGAGCGCCAGCAGGTCAGTGACGAAGCAATGGGCAATGGTGGTCAGGGAAAGCGTCGAGCACCCCCCTGATCGCGTGCCTCTCAGCACGGCCGACAGTCTGCGCCAAGTACGGAAGGGGCCCGAACCGCGCCCTAACTGGGAGCCAAGAATAAGGATCAAGCTGCACAACAGCTTGTCCACATCTCCGCACCTCGGGAACGCCTGAGTCGTAACCAGACCCGCCGGTGTAAGAAACGGGGCTCCAAGCGCCATGGGCGTCGCCCCAAAGGCAGACATCCTGCCTCCGCGCATCTGCTCGCGGCGGATAAGCAGGAAGCTCGGGCATGCCAAGAAGGAGGTAGGGCCCCCCGAAGTTCGGCGCGCCTGATCCAAGACCCGCGCGGATAAGTTGGTCTCGCACCTCAGCCAGCACTTGGGGGAGGTGGAAGATACCACGGCCATTCAGCGCTGGCGTCGCTGTCTCGGGCCCGCCGCGCCCGCACGGTGCATCGAGCGCCGAGGCTGGAACCGCCGCCGCAGGGGACAACGCAGCGGACGCTTTGCGCGCCCAGCCTCTCCCGATGGCCGTCGCGCCCATCGGGTGGCACAAACTCGACCTCTTCATCGACCCCTTGCCCGATGCCTGGAAAGAAATCGCCCTCGGCCTCCGCGGTGCTGGGTCGGGTCGGCAGGGTCGGCAGGGTCAAGCCGGCCCGACTCGCAAGGTTGCCACGAGCTTGCTGGCGCAGGTCGCCGAGACCCTGGTGTATTTGAGGATTC